CAAATAATTTAAAGACCAAAAACATACACACACCATTTAGAATATAAGAACCACATGATCCACAAATATAAGATTCTATTCTAATATACGGAAATTTGAAGGCAGCCAGATATATTTATATTTCATTTTATAAGTGTATTAAACTTATTGTCTTGAAGTGTTTTTGTCTATTTATTTTTAAGTATTTAAAAGCTTAAAATACTTTTTGAAGCTTTTTGAYTGGATGGGTTCTGGCTTAAGATAGGCAGGTCTAGATGCTGCCAGGCCCACTCAGAGCCACCCCCAACACTGACAACTTTATTTCAACAATGTTGTGGAGTCAGTTTAATAATCTCTACTCATTTACAGAGTTGGAATGTGATGATTGTTACTGTTAGTGCAACAACTGCTGCTCCCTGCTGAAAGATCAAGGTAAATATTGTGATGACCTTAATTGATCTGGGTTAAATATTAATTAAATCATCTCTCCCTCCCTCCCTCTGTTTGCCCATAAGAAGCCTTCATAAGATGAGCCATATGTCAGCATGAGCAGCTTCGGACAGGTCCTGAAGGAGGTTGGGGGGTTTGGTTCGTTTCAGAAGCRCTTGCTCGCCGCAGTATGCATCCCCGGCATGTTCTCAGCTTTCGATGTGATCGGCCAGGTGTTCACAGGCATGAGCTTTCCACACCACTGCAACACCGACTGGATCCTGGTGCCAGGACCAAACCTGACAGAGGAGAAACAGAAGAACCTCACCATCCCAGTGGACCAGGATGGAAGGTTCGAAAGCTGTGAAATGTTCACGCCTGTAGATCTGGATTTGGAAACGATTGAAAGGTACGGCCTTAACAGCACAACAGGATGCAGAGATGGATGGAAGTACGAGGTCCAACCAGGGGCTTCCAGCATTGTGACAGAGGTAAACAATAAACACACTTTAGTCTTTACTCTTTGGTGTTTTATTGACAGTACTGTAAAATTATTCTTTTAGTTTTTACCTACACAGAGCCAGTTTTCATCCATTTTTCTATAGACATTTTTGACTTATCAATGTTTTTCTTGCACTTAAACTGCTTAATCAACTGTTTTTAAAAGAATGTTTCTTTTTTTTTTTTTTGTTTGGCATTTTAAGTATGGCTCCAGAATTTATGGTATGAGCCAGTAATTTTGTCTCCTTGTGGCTGCAACTAGCACAGAAAGAGCACAGAATTCCTTTTTTGTTGTGCATACCTCTGTGAAAATACCAAAGATACCATCATTTGACAGAGATAAAACAATAATTTAGCACCAGTCAGGTGATTCTCAAAGAGCTGGAAGAATGAGGCATCTCTCAGGTGTTGGCTGTATTTGTTATTTTTCCAGTTAAGACTTGACCGTCAGGTGCTGTTTGATTCCTGGGGGGTGGGGGTGTCTTTGGGGGCCTGACACCTTATTTTAGTGCTTTACTTGTTCAGCCAAAAATTGACTGAAAAGCTTCAGATTTCACCTCAATACAATTAAGAGATTTCACCAAACGTCTGTTTTTAAAGCAACGTTTTGAAAAGCTAGGCTTTGGTTTCATAGGGGGTTATTATGTGTTTTCCAGGCACATAGTTAAATTCTATACCACAATCATGTAACTGTTGCCTTCATTTGTTATGAAAATGCTGTATAGATCAGAAATAAATTTGACTTCACATCATATCCATACAYGTCAGCTGCTCAGGGTGTTTACCTGTACCTGAAAAGTTGTCTAATTTACTGACAATCTGTACAACTTGAGATTTGCATAGCCTAAAACCAGGGGTTCTCAAGACATTTGGGTCTGGGGACCCCTTACAAAGGCGAAAAAAAAATTCCAGGAACCCCCCATCATACACCCCATACTGTTTTAAAAGATAATTTATTGTCATGTCAGCCCCTAAAGGCCATGGGAATCTATATATTTATTAAGTTTATTATGTTTGTTTTATTAGTTCATTGTTCTCCATGCATTTTTAAAAAAAAAAACCAAATTAACATTTTCGGGCTTTCTCCCATATACGTGGATTTCTCCGGTAGAATTTCAGTCAGCGAACAGGAGGAGTTGTTAATGACTACGTCGATTTTCTATGGTGTTTTAGTCTGGCTGTAGTTTAGCAATGGCAGCTGAGGAAGTGAACGTATGGGGTAAGACAACTGTCATAGTTGTCTTACCCCATTTGAATGAAGCTAACAAGGCTTCCAAATTAAATTAAATTTGTCTCACAAAGCCTGCAGCACTCATTTACAGCCACTTTGTTGGGGTCGGTACTTCTCTCCCTTCAGTAGGGGATGGTTGGTTTACAGTGCACACAATTTCCAGTTAGCGTTTTAGCTTGGCCTCCTCCACAGTTGATCTGACACACAAACTGTACTGTATGTCACAGCCAAACATTAGCGATTGGGTAAGTCAGATCCAATCATTTTAAACGCCTCCAGCAAGAAATCGTTTCTCATTAGCCAAGAATCCAAACTTTCTGTACAAATCAAAGCRTAGGACAAGGTTCTGGTTTTTAACAGGCTGCTTATGCACTCACCGGCCACTTTATTAGGTACACCACGCTAGTAACGGGTTGGACCCCCTTTTGCCTTCAGAAC